ACACACACACACACACACACACACACACACACACACATATACGTTACATGACCTAATATAGGGGAAATTACAGAAATTACAAATATACTTTATACTATGTTATATTACATAAATGTTTATTTTAATTCCAAGATGCACAATAAAACAACTGTATTGTAAGAAAAAGAAGATCACTCTGCTCATTAACAAAACAGTACAATAACTCTATGGCTTGAATACACTACAACCTACAATTTGCCAAAACCCCAGGGAGGGTGAAGTGATGCCACCTCATCACAGAATGATGGTGTAAAAAGAGAATGCATGAAAGAAAACATGCTGAGGTTTGTGCGTAGAATAAAATGAAGTATGTCCACGGTGTGTTGATCGAATGTCAACATCCAGTGACTGAACTCTCACATCTCTATTGAGCAGTAACCTCACTAGCGGTGATCAAGATTCTGAAATGTAGTGGATTTGGCCTCACACCACTGAGTGAAATGAGCAGTTGTGTTGAATACACAGAGATGGACTTTGGACGTGACCTTGCGTGGCTCTGATATTGGCGATGACACTGTGAACGTGTCAGGCGATTGCTGAGGAAGCCATGAATCCTGTGGATGAGGTCAGGCTGCACATTCGGGATGTGGACTCTGGTGATCCTTCACTGCCACACGGGGCTGTGTTGAAGGCTGAGCTGAGATTGATGAAAGGTGGGCTGTAAATGTTGTGGCGGTGCCATGTGTTGTAACACAGTGTGAAGGACACATCAACACTGCAATGTGTCCTGCAAACTCAATGTAAGGCATGCAGGCTCGGATCCGTTTCTTGAGGGCAGTTTGTGACAATCGTTATCAAACTCACAGGTGAACACCATGCGTCTTCCTTGCAGGATATATTGTGCAGAGAATTCTATAGTGTAGTCCTTTGCTCAATGTATAGTTTGTATGGACAGATGATCAGGTTGCCCTATGTGCTCTTTTGGCTTGCACCTACTTAGGCTGAGACATAAGCTATGTTTCAGGGGCTATCATGTAGTGTCACATGAATTTATCAAGCTGTGGGACATTATATGAAAAACAGTGAGGATACAGTTGTTGGATTTCAGTCAGTTTTACAGTGCAAATCATGCTAACGATTGTTATACAAGGAAGTCTTATCCACTCAAACATTCGATGGGTTCTTCCTTTGCATCCTTGCACTGATTTTTGTGGTGATTAGTAGCCCTAAGTTAGGCTAGTTTTCAAGAAATTGATTAAATCTACAAATTGCCCTACCTCGCAATATTCACTGAATTAAAAAAACATCTATGGATCCACCTTTGATCCAGATCTGTTGCTAATTTTAATGGATACTTCCTTTGCCCTCGCCTTCCACCAAAGTGAAAATGTGTAGTTTTTGCGTAATCCAGTTTACTAAATGCAAATTCAAGGTTTTTTGCATCCGCAAGACCAATATTTTTCCGCGCTGACTGTACTGTGCATTCTCCAGGTGCAATATAGTGTGTTGCTCAACACTCTCCAGTCCAGTTGGGGGTGCACTCCTGCCTTAGTCGCAAAGAATGAGAACACTTAGAACATGGTTTTGAGCGGCTGTCTGAGGAGATACGATGATACCTCATTTGATAAACAATTTCTTTGATGGAATATAAGGACATACAAATGGGGGCAAACTCTTTGAGAGAAATCGCAGCTACGCTTCGTCGTGATGAAAACACGAGCCAAATGAAATGCTGGTTAACCTTATATGGGATCAGATATGCATGAGTGGAACATCAGACCGGCGCCTGTGTGCATGGCACTGTGTGCATGTATGTATGCCCTGAACACGACTCTCAGCGGACATAAAACGCAGAAAGTATGGTCAACCCTTGACAAACAAACAACTCCAAATGAAAACATAGATGACACAAGATTTTGTATTACAGAACCATTATCTGTACCAAACTCAGCAAAGTATCCTTTCATTATAACAACCCCCTCCAAATACACAGTCCAGAAAGAGAAGCGAGGACATATGAGTCATTTGATAGAAGGCTTGACAGCGGGCAAGGTGCATAAGCCTCCCAACAGTGATGCGAATGAGAAGCATGGAACAGGAGGAGCAGAGGAGACAGGAGTAAAGGCTGCAGCAAACACCAGCCTGTGTCTGACTTGGAGACACTCATGAGTGAAGGCTGACTCAGCCTTATTGTGCTGGGTGCATATGTGTTGGCGTGTGTGTGTAGCAGCAGTTTACACACACCCCTGCCCACCATCATCATTTCCCCTCCTCTTCCTCTTCCCTCTCTCTCTCTCTCTCTCCATGTTCACCTCTACCTCTGCAGTACCTCTCGGTCACTCCTCCCTGCAGCCGGCTGGGGAGACACGAGCACCCTGCTTTTCTGCCTGGCTGCTGGCTCTGCTCCAGCATCCCTCCCCACCCCTCCGTGCCTCCCGTGTGCTCTCCTCCTCCTCCTCCACCTCCCCCTCCAGCCTCGCTTGAGCAGTGGAGCTGTCTGACACCACACTGCATGCTCTGCCTCGCCTCTCCGCTTTGCTGGATAGTCACTGAGTCTGCAAGAGACGGAAACGGAGGACGGGAAGGGAGGGAGGCAGAGAGAGAGAGAGAGAGAGAGAGAGCCTGCACTCTCCATTCAGCTGCTGCATTCTCCAGCCTGCCTCTCCCGCTGCTGTCCTGCGCTGCTGGGAGTGCAGTGCTGGGGGTCAACTGGACGGGCTGACATCTCCCTGAAGGACTTCATCCTCTTCCCCTCTGTGCGCTTCCTTCGTCCGTTCGTTCCTGGGGCAGAGTGAAGAGGAGGAGAGAAGAGGGAGGGACTGGGAGCGGGACATCAGACTCCTGCGTTCAGCTGCGTGGACCAGTGTCCCACCTCGCTCCAGAGACACATGAGAGGAACGCACGGGCATATCTGCGTTTAGATTAGACACGGCTCAGGGTGAACGGGCTTTAGAAGACTGGAGAGGAGGGGGACAGACTGACAAAGACACAGATTCTATAAATACAGAAGGACTGACAGACGGGGGGTGTCATGGCGTCAGTGGACAGCAGCGGTGTGAGTGTCTCTGGTCGGCTGAGATCAGGGGATCTACTTCACGCTGGCCTGACAGTTGTACTGCTGCTCGGTGAGTTGCGCTCCTCTCTGCCCGGTCATTCCTCTCTCTTCCATCTGTCTCCTCATCACACCAGCACGTTTCCACTCCTCTGTGAGAAATCTGTTTTTTATAGCAGCTTGTGTTCGAGATGATCTCCTGAGATTTCAACTTGTTTCCCTTCACACCCTCCTCTTTTTCTGGTGTCCCTCTGTCTGTCTGTGTGTCTGTCTGTCTGGTTCCCTCCATCACAATGAATCCATACCTCATAAAGTCCACACCTGAAGGCAAAAAAAAAAAAAAGAAGGGATGGTGATGTCACAGCTGGTGTTTACTTGTTGCTGAGGCCATGAAGGTCAATAACATTCAACCCTTCTCATCTGAACTTGTTTCATATCTGGGGCTGGAGGGATGATTTGTTAAATGACTCTTTATGCTCGAAGGAAAGATGATCAAAAATAATCAAACACAGGACAAGTTGAGATTCAGGAGTAAACACAAAAGTCTGCAGTCCACATTTATACATGTTGTAGTATTACTGGCTGTGACGTAGTGGTGCATTGGTGATCTGTGCTTCCGCTCATACACGCCCAATTGTGCCCCCACATCAACATTTCCTGCTTGAGCTCAGTTAAGTCGACACACGCAGCACAGTTCACAACAGCTGAGCTTCAATGTGTGCATGTGAGGAACTCTTGATATTTTTAACCTCAAAAGAACCAAAACTGGTTCCTGTGCTGTCTTTCACTTACTTACTTTTCTTTCCTTTTATTCCCACAAATGTAGCTTTTTTACATTTTCTATAATGTCCAATATATTTCCCACTAAAGTTGAGTTACTTTGGGTAATATAAATAGCAAGGTATTTAGCCTTTTCAAGAAACAGCATCATTTGTGAAAATAGCTTCTCTAAAACGAATTTGTCTGTAGCTTATATACTAAATATGTCTATAACTATCAGACGATTAAAAATAGTTTTGCTTTATGATAAGCATGTAAAATATGACATTCAGGATGTGGGCATGAAGTCATATATATAAATAAAATAGTGTTGCAAAGACAGGCACCATCTTGTCATTTTTTGTGCCTGTTGTTACATTTTGACATCATGTTTTATTAAGAATGGACAAATCCAGTGTGCTGAAAAGCCAGATTTGAAATGTCAGCTTAAAAAATGTCATACACACAAGTCTGTGAAGTTATTTAAATATTAGGCCACAAAAATCTTTTCATTTTGTGTTGTGTGATTGGCTGCTGATCACAACATAAGATGAAGCTGGTTTCTTATTATCAGCAGTATTAGCTGTATTCACAGGAAAACTACTTAAGATATGGTCATCTCAGCACTTCTGTAGCCTAATGTATAATGCAAAACACCACGTTTGCTCCTGTTCTTCCCCAAGCATGTACCATCTACAATACATACCTCTATACATGCATAGTCACCCTGGATAACCTTGCAGAGTAAAATGCAGGACAAGTAGATACAGTATACTGGTCCATATTCCAGATTTGAATGTTTACAGGGTTTTATTCAGCAGGTTTTTACCACACCAAAATGTATTATGCATTGTGTGCCTTTGGTTGTATGCGTTAGTAAATTGTGGAGTTGTTAATCTGTGAGGTAGTTGTGTTGTTGCCCACTTGAGGTAGTTGCTCTTATTTAGTTTAGTGGGTCATCCTTTATTTTCTTCTTCTGCTACAAGTTCTCAACTTTATTCAAAAGAAAATACGACAAACAAAAGATAAGAGTTGATCTATGCCATATTCTTGTAAAGTAATATTGGTTAATTTTAATTTGTCTTGCTGGTCAAATAGAATTAAAACAATTTAAAAGTTTGGATCCAGGTGATAACCCTTCCTTACTGTCAATCAATTACAATGATTTATATTTTTATCGATTGACTTTTGACTGAAGTAACTGTGAAAATGATTGCGCACGTTGAGGCAGCAATCTTGGTGCATCAGTCAAACAACCACTTACGAGTTCCTGTTTGTTTAGGTACTCTCTCATTTCTTTGCACATTTCCACTATGCTATGCTGTCATGTTCTTATCACTATTCAAGACCCTCGCTTTATCCCTGCTGTCAATCCTCATCTAGGATTGTGGTAAAGCTGTCAATCTACACTTTCAAATATTAAGGTACTTAACGTAAACCGCCTATTCTTCACTTGTGTTCTGAAATGTCTATATATTCTACTTTACACAGCAAATTAATATTTATCTTAAAGGTTCAGTTTGTTAGATTTAGGTGAAAGGGATCTATTTGCAAAAATGTAATATAAAATAATCCTAGTGATGTTTTCACTAGTGTGTAATCATCTAAATTGTACAAATTGTTTTCTTTACCCTAGAATGGGACCTTTATATATTGAAATACTTTATATTTACATCAGGAGCGGGTCCTCTCTATGGAGGCCGCCATGTTTTTTACAGTAGCCCAGACTGGACAAACTAAACACCTTTAGAGTTTTTATGACAACTGGAGACTTCCACAGGTTCTCTGTCGTGGCTGGATGGGTAGGGTGAGGTGAGGGGTATTCAGATACAACATGCAACTTCACCACTAGATGTCACTAGATTCTACACACTTAACCTTTAAACTGCACATTACACCTCTGTTGAGTCTTTTCTTCTTCTATAATGCCTGAAGAAAAACAAATGACTCAAAGTCCCTTTTAAAGTCAGATGTGGAACGAAAGGAGAATTGAATTAAAATCTGAGATCATTTTTATTACTGATCATTTCAAACTTAATAATAATACTTCATAAAAAACTCCTCATTTTAATTAACTTACATTCAATATTTATTGAACCTTTTGTTATATTGCTATTGATTACATTTGCATCATGTTAATTATTGATATTGATATATTGCCCTACTTGGTACTATATATCACTCCTCAATTATATTATACATGTAGAGATGTCTCTTGTGTTAAAAACCCTCATTATAACACCTCAGAAAACCAAGATCTGTAATCCAAAGAGATGAGAGATATCCCCACACATCACACACAGTCATTTCAACCCTGACATTGTCCACTTCCATGAGTCTCAATATCTTGTGCCACTTGTATGTATAAACAACAAACAGCAGACAAAGTAGTAGTAGTAGGAAACGAGGCAGATGCCTGCAGAGCAGTCCAGTAACATGTTCATCACTAGTTACTACGCACACATGGTAATTACATCGTGTGTCGTTACATGTTTGTGTGGCCATTTCATTACATAAGTGTAAATCCATATGTGTACATGCAGTGTAAAGGAGACCCCACCCTCCACCCTCAGTTGATTGAGTCACTTAGCTGCTGCTGTAATTTTCTGCTCTACTGTCACTCACCTTGGAGCGGACATCTCACTCTTCCCTTACCTCCCCCTCTCCATCCCTCTGTTTGTCCCTATAGTGACCCCTTCCATCACTTCCTACACACTGTACCTCCTCCATTACATCTGCTCCCCCATTCATCTGCCTTCTCCCCTACCCTTTCCATCTCTTCTCTCTCTCTCTCTCTCCATCTCTCTCTCTCTTTCTTCTTTCGCTTGAGGTAATAGTGTCCTCGGTCAGTTCTCTATGGGTTCAACTCAGAAATACATTAACCATTCCATCTCTGGCCTACTTTAAGGAAAAGAAATGAAGGAGGAAAAAACTCACCTTGAGAGTCAGTCAAGGACACACACACACAATCAGTTGCCTTTCCTCCCATCAGTGATTCAGATATTGATGTTTCCCAAATAGAACAAAGAGATATTTGATAGTGGAGCTAAAAATATCAGACATTCCAGCCCATTACACATGTACACACACACACACACACACACACACACACACACACACACACACACACCAACCAAAGCACATGCATATAACCACACACATACAAAGACAACCACACTTGCTCAACTAGCATGACACATTACTTGAGTCAGTGAATCTGTGGGCTTTGTCAGGACAAACTATAAAGGTGGAAGAGGAGTGGAGTAGAGGAAGGGCGGAGAGCAAAGGGGATAGTAGAAAGAAGAGGTGTAAAATGAGGGAGGTGTGAAATCTATTTCTAGACACGGGAGCTTGGCGCTCCTCTTAGATATGTAAAAGATCACCATGCTCCCAGCGCACGTAAACCTTTCAGAGGGGAGTGTCTCCCATGTTTTTCCCATGTCACTTATCTCTCTGGCATCTTCTTTAGACGGAGGGCAAAAGATAATTCATTATTGTAGCTCAGAGTTTTAAAGGCAGTTAAAGGACTCTAACCAGCAGCCAGCTATACAGAAACCTTTCAACTCTTCAAGTTATCAGACTCCACCACTGTCACAAAAAACACACAGTGGCTCCTCACATCTCTAGTGTGCTTATGTACGTAGCTCTAGCATCCCAGTGGAACAAGATCTGAGAGCGAGCAAGACAAGAACATTGGGAAAAGAAAGGAGAGAGAGAGAGAGATAGTTCATTAGAGAGCAAAACCAGAAGCAGAAAAGAACAAGCAGAGTGACCCATGCTGCTACTGAAAGTAGAGGAGATAAGTCAGGATGACTACAGAGGAGAGGTAAAAATAAAACTATTTTTCTTGCACAGTGATTTGGAATTCGTGACAGAGTCAGTGACGGCTGCACTCCAATATTTGAATTTACAAATTTGCACAGCCTACTGTATTTGTGTGTCTGCATCTGAAACACATATTAGTGTTGTAAACTGAGATAATGCAGAAAACAATCTCTGCTGTATGTCATTCAGTTCAGGGGATATTTACACAAAGAGAAACCAAGGAAAATACAATATTGACTCAAGTTTGATACATGTTTAATATCCTTCACCTAGGATTAATAAAAACCTTTATATTGACACACCACACCTGCTACTCCCTGCAGTAAACTGTGTAGAGCTACTTTTAAAATAGCTTAGTGTGCTTGATTTCTGCTCCAACATACTGGACCATCTTGACGCTGGAAATGTTTTTATGCCTCCACACAGGCAACATCTGGAGACATTACATTTCCGAGCTAACTGAGTATGTTGGTGAATGGTCTGTATTTATAGAGTTTTTCTCGATAACAACTCTAAGCACTTTACAGTACAGTTTTACCATTCACCCATTCACACATGTTCATTTCCATCACACATCAATCACACGCTGCCAGCACAGCTGTCAGGGGATATTTGGGGTTCAGTATCTTGCCAAAGGACACTTCTGCACAGGGAAAGGGAGAGACCGGGATCAAACCGCCAACCCCTTCGGTTAGTGGGAGACCCACTCTACCTCTTGAGCCCCAGCCACCAACGTTGGTCTGTCCATCTGTCCGTGCCATTCGTGTGAAGATGATATCTCACGTGGGAATCTCCTCAAATGTGTTACAAATGTTCACATGCATTCCCAGATAAATCTCTCACAGGTCAAAGGTCAATATCACAGGGGCTTCAACTTGTTTTTGTCGTCTTAAACGCGATATCTCAAGTCTGTCTTTAGGGAATTTCTTCAAATTTTGAGCAGTTGTCATTTGGAATCAAAGATGCACTGGTTATAGATTTCTCATATTATTGTGAATAAAATATGTCTGGGACACCTGGAGGGACTGAAACTGCATTGTTTGGCAGACGCATACAAATGCAGTTCTTTTTATTTACTCTCTCTCTCTCTCTTTCTCTCTCTCTCCTTCTCTCTCTCTCTCTTTATATATATTTTATATATCCACACTTGCATATGGTAATGAGCACTGTAAAAGCAGTAACTTCAGTTTGCCTAGTTTATAATATCAATGCAAAAGGAATGGCTGAAAATGACATTTAAGTGAGTGAGCGATTAGAGTGTTTAACAGGAAACAGTGACTTCATCCATAATAACCACAAGAGGGTTGTTTCACTGATGTCGTCCAAAAAGCAGAGCAGGTGGTGTGAAATTCTTCAATAGATGTAAGTCCTTCACAGACGCATAGGCACAGTGGTACGCCAGCACTGTTTGCACCATGTCCAAGTGCAATGTGATCCTGAGCAGGTCACTGTGGACCAGAGCGTTTATAAATAGGCCCCATGAGTGTGAGAGACACCAAAGCAACAATCTGGGAATTACACCAGCTGTCAGTGCAGGACCAACATCATCTGCTCAGCAAGACCCAAATACCAATACAAGATGACGCTGTTTGTTTGGAAAGACTTACTACGTGTTTTTCTGCTTTACATAACATCACAGGACACCAGTAATATACTGTTAAATGCAGGATTCATTCATTTTTTTATTTGATCGAGGTGCATTTCTGTTTGTGTCAGTGTTTGTCTTCTGCCAGACATTCTCAGTCAGCCAGTACCTGAGTCTTACTGCCTGGTTTATACATCTGCGTAGAGAATATCTCAGATGTGTGAAATCAAGTGAGATACACCATATTGCAGGAAAATTTAAATACAGAGTCAAAACCTTGATTCACGTTAAGACCAGCAGGGGGCAGGTATTCATATTGATCATATTACATTTGTAAATGATGACTAATCAGTTATGGGATGTTATGAAGAAAACTATTGTTTTGAATTTTATGATTTTTCCATTCAAAATCCAGCGACATGTTTTCCATATTCACCCTCCTCTTAACTCCTCTCCACAATCACTGGCTGTGTATAATCACTATGGCACAGTACGGGAGACATGAGTGAGCCGTGGGGAGTCAACTTCTCGAATTGAGTTGAATAACTAAAATGAGTATATATTATATATTATATTTTGCAACCTCAGCAGCAGAACAACTTGATACTTTCCCATCGCCTGCTGCCTCGGTTTTAGATTCTCTTCAATTTTTTTCTCTCCGCGTTAGAAATATATCCTGTTGCTTTCTTTTTATTTTGTTCACCATGTCTGTTCTCTCCTGTTTCAGGGGTCTGGAGTGTTTGTGGACTGGAGGTATCGACAGGTAAAGTGTCTTCAGTCGAAGCAATGAACGGCTCCACGGTTCTGCTGCCCTGCACATACTCTTCCTGTATTGGCATCAAAGACCTCTACTTCAACTGGCATTATAATGACAATGGAACAATGCTCAAGGTAAAATGTGCAAACATGCATGTGTATGCACCATAGACTGTATGTAAAGATGGATCACGCATATCCACTTCTTCCAAGTACAAATAGTATATAACAGCTTAGAGTGCTCAGGTAATGCTCCAACACACTGCTTCCTTGGCTAAGGTCCCAGCCATAGACTGAATATAAAGATTGATTTGTCTTCACTTCCTCTCAGTGTCCAGAAATGAAGCCAATATCCTGGGATACGAATGCTGCCCTGTTGTGCATTAGGAGTCAGAGTCTGTGCAGTAGCGATTAGGGGATGGAGCCACTATAGCGAGGTCTTGGCGATGCACAGGCACGACCAATTGTGACCCAAAATAAACATCACTGTGATAGGAACTACACAATATTGCAGATTCTTTATTTTGATTCATGTCTCATCTGCTAACTAACACGGGGGAGGTGGGGTATATGACCTACACCGGAGACGATCATGATGCTTTGGCTACACTAATGCTGTCCATCTTTGAGTACACTCTATGGTACAAACATAAACATGCATGCAAGTGTATAAAAACACAAACATGGACATACTATTGATATGTTTTGGCAGACAACCCATCTACCTGTACGTGTGTATGTGTTTGTGTGTGTGTGTAGTTATGTGAAGCAGAGATCCCAATGGAGGGCATTGAGCCCAAGGTCAGTGTGTACCATGAACGTGTGGAGTTTGTCGGCTCCTCAAAGAGCAACAACATCTCCATCCTGCTGTGGAACATCACCTTTGAAGATCAAGGAGAGTACATCTGTTTCGCCCGGAACCCGAAAGAGAAGAAACGCAACCACAGCGCTGTCTTCACTCTGATAGTGGTGGACCAAAGTATGTGACAAACGCACACACCTGCCCACAAAAATATTACTTTGTCTAACTCAACAACACTATGAGAGTGTTTGGGCGTCTTGTGAACTTCCTCTGCATCCTTTTACATCGTCTCCCTCTCCTCATCTTTCTCCCTCTTTTCAGTGAGGGAGGTTGACAACACTTTGACCGTCATCATCGTCTCTGTGCTGGGTGGAGTCATTGGCTTAGTTATCTTCATCATGGTGATAAAGGCCTTGGTTGTTCACTTCCTGCTGAAGGATGATGAAAAAAAGTGAGTAAATCATAAATAAAGGGCAAAATAAAAAACGGAATACATAATAAATTTGATGCGTTGATTTACAACTTTACAAATATGCTTTGCCAGTAGTTATTAAATGGGCATAGTAATTATTTGTAAAACTTTTTTATTCTGCA